ATATTATAAATATCAGAGTCAGAACAGAAACGTACGCGTGAAATGAAACTACGCCCGAACCGGCGAACTCCGAGAAAATAAAAATATTTCAAAGCGTACAGTCATACGTTCTCGTTGCTTGATTTCCTGAATTTTCTGTTGCTGTAAGAATCTGCATTTTAGCATGTTTGTATAATTTAAAAGCAAACAGAAACCAATTTAGCAAGTAGTTTGAGGTATATATGATTCTCGAAGATGAATTAGATGATTGTACAGAAGACCACTCCTTGCAATCGAAGTGCGAAGTGCGGAAGTGGAAACATGTAATATGAGACTTTTCCATCCCCCCTTCGGCTATCAATTTTCTATGTGTGACGTCATCAGCCCCGACCAGGGTCTTTGCTTCCCAAGAGCAAAGAGCCTGGGAACGAGGTTGGAGTTTTTAATGATTTAAGGTAATTGAAACAAACAAAAAATACACTAGACGAGTAGTTTAGACATGAATAAAAAGATTTTAACATTTAAAATCTAAAAAGAAACAGAATTTAAATTAAAAATTACCGTTTAAGACCGGCAGGCGTGTGAACATTTCTTGAAAAATTGTCGAATACCGAACTTAAAGTAGAAAAGTTAAGAAAACTATAGAATAGTTAAGCATTTGCACACGATTAAATTGTAGAGTAAATCATACCCTTAAATATAGTCAACGCAAAAATTATACATGCTACGCAAAAAAAGTTATTGACAAAAATGTGGATCATATGAACCTACGAAAAATATCTTTGTATGGTTCAGTTAAAGAACGTTTTATACAATAAATTTATCGACAGTCACCTTTGGTTTATTTTGTTGCATAATCACTACTTCTTGCACATGTAGACTATAATTATTTCTAGTTTTTAGGTTGTCACGTTCATTTTGAGTTTTTGACAACATTCGGTACACTTGACATCAACACCGCGGAAAAACGTCTGCGCATGCACCAAATTATGAAAATATGGCGGGGAATTTGAATATCAATTTCTAAAACAAAAACATGCTTATTAATTGGTCAAAAATTAGTAAAACAAACGAGAAAATGTAGCAAATGGTAGACTAGACATTAATTGAAAGCGTCCTGGCATTTAAAGTATGGAATGAAATATAATTCATGTAAAAAATTGTTGATTTTAACGGACACGACTTATTCGACGGACAAAATTATTCAAAACAAAAATTCAAACTCAAAAGTTAAGAAAACTCTCGAAAAGTTAAGCTTCTTAACCCACTCAAATTGTAGAATAAATCCTAAAGTTTAAATATTGTGAACACGAAAATTTTTTATATTTGGCGACACAGTTTTTTTTAAAGAAATGTATCTCAAACGAAAATTCGGAAATTGTCGTTGCCTAGTTGATAAACAAAATGTTTCACACGATAAATTTGTCAACAATCACCTTTAGTTCATGTTCTTGTACAATACAATTTCTTGAATCTTCTGGCTGTATTTATTCCTAGTTTTTAGAAAGACATGTTTATTTTTGCGCTCGAAATCTGGCTGTAAAGACGCACAATGAAGTCACTCCTTTTTACCGCCATTTTGAGCCTTCGGAAACGTTCGGAACAGCTTCTCATCAAGTTCGCAATCACTGTTACAGGTAAGGTTGACGCATGCGCAGACGTTTTTCCGCGGTGTTCTTGACATCACGTTCGCAATACAGATTTCAGTAATGTTGACGCATGCGCAGACGTTTTTCCGCGGTGTTTATCGGAAGTCGAACTTAAACTCTCTAATGACAAGTTTTCCTTGCCAAGAAGCCTTGTTCCAAAGCTAATCATGCCAGCTTTTGGACAAAGACGAATGTTTTCCGCCGCAATTAGGAAAACTTGGCACTTTAAAAGTATACAAGAAATACTTCCATGGTTTTGACAAAAAAGGGCGTCCTTGACGTGAGATAGCTAAATTTTAACAACATTCCGTCGGCACACGAGCAACAAAATTTGTCAAGGAGAACTTGCTCGTCTTGATACGGGGCTTTGTAGACACTTGGTATGTAGACACTTGTAGACACTTGTATGCTGGATCATGTTTCATGTAATCTACTTCTTAAAAAGGAGATGCAGAACTTTAAGAGAAAGAAAACACTCATTCATCCTACCTACGATCAAAACTGAACGATTTAAAAGCTCAAATTTAATTAAAATACTCATTAATAATTCATAAACCTTGTGGCAAATCATGTCAGCCATAATATGTCACGTGGAGTGACTTTATATCTGATAAAGCACGAGGCATTATATAATTGTTCATCCTAATTAGTATGATTATATAATGGTTCATCCCAATTAGTATTCTTTTGTAGTCGTATTTTAAGCTATTCAAAACACTCGTTGTCGTGTTTTATCAGACATAAAACGCTCGACTGCGCCTCGCGTTTTATATCTGATAAAACACTCCTACTCGTGTTTTAAATAGTACATAGATGTCTATTTGACTATTTTAATTAGCTAATTTAACTTATTTTAAGTGATTAAAATCACTGTAAAAATAATTTAACTTTGTAAATTTCTTATGGGAATTGTAAAGGCACACGCGTTTGTTGTGCCTCCTTCCTATAATTACGAATAAAGACTTAATAATAATAATAATAATTGCAAACCATACTACTATATTCATGTATAAATAAAAGGCATATACACATGCATCCATAATGTTTATCCTCTAAAGACCAAACTTTTTAAAATCAGTTGATACAAAGAAAGAGATCTCCCATCTCAGTAGCTATACATGTAAATTATTTCGATATTTCCTAATTTACTGCAGTTGCTAATGCCGGTTTCTTAATTGAAAATCCGGCCATGCAGTTCTGTCTTTGAAAATCCATGCTGTTCTGTCTGAGTTGACATTGTAAAAGAAATTGGCTTCCACACTAATATGGGTGCTTGTCCGATCCTAAAAATGGAAAAAATGGGTTTAATTCCTAAATATAGGTTTGAACGATATAATATCTGGATAAAGGACTCTATATTTTTGCAACCTTTACGGTAGGCAAGGACAAATGCATTATATATATTTCACAGATAATATTAAGTCATGGTCAAACAAGAATGAGAGTTGATGAAAGTTGAGAAGGGAGAGTTTGCACGAGAGTTTTCTCAATTCTCATGCTCCGCGGAAAACGAGAACAAGAGTTGCACGAAACTGGTTAGTGCTAACACTGAAAAAACAGTTTTGTAAATATTTGGGGGATATTTCCGGATGAGCATATTAATTGGAAACAACAAAACAAGCATCGTGTTAATGACAAAATAGCTATAAAAGTATTGGAATTATAATAAACTTCGACGTTATCTGGGCTCAAAAATGTTAAGGTGGCTCGATACAGTTTTCAAAAATTCAGGTGTTTAACACTTTGACATGTTCAAACTACGCATTTTTAGGATTTATTCAGCAGATATTGGGTTTTTTATATATTTTGATAACTCTACTTTCAAACGATATTAGTTTTAGTAACAGATAGTTCGTTGCTATGACGACATACGTGTACGAAATTCACTCCAAAATGACCTATCGTCTCGTATAGTTGGAAAAAAAGCATGGTGACCCCCAATTTTTTTTCGTGCATTATTTTACTTGGACGAAAAGCTAACAATTAGCAAAATATAAAAAAATTCTGTAATGCCATTTTTTTGGAAAATGCGAAAATGTCATATTCTTCGGTAATTTTTTTTTGGCATTACAGAATTTTTTATTTTTTGTATAATGAAAGTTTTTAGCAGTGCAATACAGCATGCAAAATTTCAACATAGGTCACCAGACAAAATAAAGAGATATAGCGCATTGTTTTTCTCAAATGGAAAATTCTAATGACGTCAGCAATTGACATAAAACGCTATAGAACACGCGCAATGGCGTGATATGGCGCGAGCAACTGCTCACGTCAGGTCATTTTGGAAGTTCTTTCATTTTGTTAATCAGTTTCCGCGACTTGTGCGCGTAAAAATGGTCACCCGGTTTTGAGTTCGCGATTCTTGAGCAGAGTTTTTGTGATAACTATATCGAGCCACCTTAAAGCAACTATATTATACACTTGCATGTTTGTGATGTTACTCTGCGAGTGTGCATCCACACCGGGCAAGCTGAAAAGTTGGCTTGGCCACGGTGGGAATCGAACCCGCGACCTTTGGGATACTATAGTCCAATGCTCTGCCAACTGAGCTACGTGGTCAAGTCAGTTCGAGTTGATGATATTTCGGAACTGAGCCTAGTTCCTTCGATATCAATATGTATTGTTCTTCTAGTAAAATCGATCATATCATAGAATAGATCGAAGGAACTAGACTCAGTTCCGAAATATTATCTATATCGAAGGAACTAGACTCAGTTCCGAAATATCATCAACTCGAACCGACTTGACCACGTAGCTCAGTTGGCAGAGCTTTGGACTATACAGGGTGTATAAAAAAAAGCGCAATCCTCGACTGAAATGTAAATTGCTAAACAAATAATAGACGAAAACGTTAAAGTTTACATTCATTTTAAAGCGTAGCCATTCAGCTTTCTAACAGTGGGTTGTTTCTTAAATTTGACTCATTGGTTCGCGGGTAATAATACTTTACGTTATTGCGATTGGAGATTAAAAAAATTGAGATGGAATAACAAATCGTTCGCATGAAAATAACTGATTTTTTTATTAAAACAAAAAAATAGGTACGCAATGCGTACATGTGGCTAGCCTGGTAAACTCTCCCCAAACCCTCCTCCAAACCCAGAAAGCCTGCCATGCTGGTTAACTTTAATAGTAATAAGAAGACACACCACGATGGTCAGAATGCGCAAATTTTCTCCCACTTGTGCGGGCTCATTTTGTCAGTGGAGTTTCACGGTATACTTGAAAAATACCGTGTCACTCTCGTCGCTTCCCATGTAAATAGCGAATTCATGAATAACAATTGAATAAACACAAATATGTGAATTTGCACGCCAGGCTTTTGAATATAACGATTGTAAAAAGTTTCCTTGTGATCTATTAGCAATTTAAAAGATACCTAAACTGTAATACTGCCATATATTTAATCTCGCGTTTGTTATTTGCGCAGCAGCAGTTTTGCCGTGGAATTAAAATTGCGTGTCATATGATATTTTTAATAGGCAAATAGCGTTTGAGATATAGCAACATTAGCAAACAAATACACCGAAATCTTGGTTAGCACGCCAACTTTTACCACTTTTAATGCAATATTACTAAACTGTAATGCTGTCATATATATTTAATCTCGCGTTTGTTATTTGCGCAACAGCAGTTTTGCCGTGGAATTAAAATTGCGTGTCATATGATATTTTAATAGGCAAATAGCGTTTGCGATATAGGCCTAGCAATATTAGCAAACAAATACACTGAAATCTTGGTTAGCACACTAACTTTTACCACTTTTATGCAATATTAGTCAACTTATAAGAGAACGTGAGACAAATCATGCTGAATTATTCGACTATATGACTCCTAAGACAGACAGACGCAATAATCCTTTATAGGTTTATTACAAATATGTAGACATTTGAGACGCCGTCAATGTCTGAAGAAAAGGTATACTTAATTAATAACTTAAAGCCTTTAAATAAACGAGTTCGATCTTCGATGCACAGTTTCTGGTCTTTTACCATAATTATCCAATGCTGGTTTTATTTGCTGCATTATAAACCTCCTCCACACAATACCCCTTCTTTAAAATACCAAACATTTCGAATGCAATTCAGATATGAAATCTCAACAAGAAGACAATTCAAGATGGCAAATCAGTCAAAAGTGCAAATCAAAACCCATATTTACACGGCGAGTAGGCGCAATTTCTGATCGGTTTCGACACCATAGGTTGAAGCCATGAAGATAAACTTTATTTTAATTTTCTGGTTTAACAACTGCGTCGTAACAACATCACTAGTACTGCCTCGAAATGCAAATGTGAAATGTCGGCAGAAAAATACGGGCGCTTCCGATTGCTCCCGATACTTTACGAAAATCCGGACTGGACACCATCATCATCGCTCATCGCGTTTGTGTATGTGATAGTGGCTAGCCCGCAAACGGGCTAGCCACAAAAATGTTGCATTTTATTAAATGCATTGTAACAATAAGTATAATTACGGCTTTTCTTCCACTATTTTTAACTCAGTTTGAAACTTCAAATGCGATATAATTTTGGCTTGGACCATCTAAGCTGACTGACATCAACTTGCTATAATTTCTGTTTACATCCAGGTGATCTCGTGTTCGTATTTTAGCCAATCAGCGCTCAGAAAGGGTTGTCCGAATAGAAATCCATTTTGATGTATTCAGTCAATTATATCTTTCGTTTTTCTTTATGAAACTAGTTGAAATTTTGTAATTATGTTTGGTTATGAGAACTATAGCTCTGACAAAAATATGGAATCGAAATAAAGTATATTACAGGAGATGTTCAGTTGTTTTAATCATAAAATGGATCTCTATTTGACAACTAGTGCCAGTACTTTTCCGCGTATCAAGATCACCTGGATTACATCGCAATTCGACGACACTCTGGCTCAGACACCAGAATGTTTTGACGATTTTTAGCATTCGTTTAGGATTTCAAACAACCTGGTCTCTTTTAAAATACTTTTAATTTGTTCTTACGTGGTTTTCCAGATGTAGTGACGACAACATTAAAGTTTAAAGAAGAAAATTCTAACATTTAAACCGACTAAACAATAACATAGTAAACCTGCATAATTAAACAGCAACTAAAAATGATAGGTTTTACTAAATCTAGTTTCCTGTGCAATTATTACTAGCATTGGAGACAAGGATAATAATTTGTTTGAAAGAGAAAAGAACAGGATTTGAAGTAAGCCTAAAAGCGTTTAACTAGAAATAGTATTTCGAAAGTTATTAAGCACAAAAGATGAATTGCGTTTATTTTGATACACCCTCTAGTATCCGAAAGGTCGTGGGTTCGATTCCCACCGTGGCCAAGCTAACTTTTCAGCTTGCCCGGTGTGGATGCACACTCAGAGTAACATCACAAACATCATATTCACCTTAGTACATAATACCAACACACACAAAATAAATATATTATACACTATACAAATCTAGTTTAACGAAAAAAATAAGTATTTGAGGATGATGGCTTTTGCACAAAGCAGAGAGAGTGGTCTGCATAGAAGTTAACGGTTTAGAACTTGTAAATCTATATTAGCTATAGGAAAAATGAAAGTTTGCTTATATAACTTATATATTGCAGTTAAATTTAGTTGAACTAACCTCGAGTAATCGAACAATTATTTGGACAATCCGAAAGGCTTCCTTTGTCGATGTTTAAGAATTCCAAATGCTAATGGATCAAACTTTCTATGTTGTTTCTGATTCATGCGACTACAAATATGACAACGGTTGCGCCAATGACCATAACACGAGGTGAAGAGCAGAAAAGGTAGTGCACACGTCAATAGCAGAGCTTTAATATTCGGCCACACCAGCATCTTTTATATTTTCTAGTTGCTTAGTGATAAAATTTTCAAACCTCAGGGATCCTTTGCACCGCTTCTCAATGTTTGAGCTATGAAGCAAGGCTATGAAGATTGAAAATATGTTATTCTCCTTTTTATAAGTACTGCACATATGGACCTTTAACCTCAGTCTTGAAAGAAAAACATAGTGGAACTATTTTTAAGGCTCCAGAGAGACGCTGGGTTTACGCAGATTGGTGATGCATTTCCTCCTTTTTCCACGTCACCATTATTCCTGTGGAGAATCTCTCCAATCTGGTCGTGAGATCAGTCTTCAATCCACTTGTAACTGTTATTCACTTTCAAAAAGGTATAAATCAATTTATGCATAAAATTCTTAATGGCACCCCACCCAATTAATCTAAAAGAATCTTTTCGACTATACAATGAAACATGCATGTATAGCACACACAACCCGAGAAGTGTACAGAAACTGATTTAGCACTTTCTATAAGCCGAAGAAAGAATGTGGAAAGAGGTGTTTCGGCTACAGAGGTGTCGTACTTTGGAATAATCTCCCTTACGAAGCAAAAAACATGCACTCACCCGCATCCTGATAAGCTCCTTTAAAACGATTCCCAAACAAGCGATAAGTTGGAGCTCGTTAATTTTGTATACAATGTTCTTATATCCTGTTTTGTACAGTAGATTTGCACTCATTTACACGCCCAGCTCATCGAAACCATGCAACTGATAGTTGTTGCAGCTAGCTTGTTTAAATAAAATCTATATGCATGTATACGTATGTATATTAAAGTATACACGCGCTTCGTATATAATTACATGCTCTCTGAATTAAAAAGAATGCTTAATACAGTCCAAGTCTTTTATAAACTTAAAAGATCTTCAAACACTCATTAATAATTCATAAGCTTATTGGCAAATCATGTCAACCATAATATGTCACGTGCAGTGGCTTTAAACCTGATAAAACACTCCTAATTAGTATTCTTTATATAAAGAAGTTTGAAGCCGTTTAATAAACTCGCAGGTCGTGTTTTATTAGGTCTAAAGCCTAAAGCCTTTATTAGGTAAATCTAATAAAACACTCCTGCTCGTTTATTAAACAGTACTTAAAAGATCAGTGCCTAGTACTTGCAGTTTTACCCATGCATAAACTCTTCAGATACCAGTATTGATAACTATTTTACATAAAAAGAATGCATGCATGTATTGTGAATATGTGATAGCCTGAACATTCTTGGCGAGAATATTTATAAATTTTGTGTTCACTTCCTTAGGCGTTAATTAAAAAAGCCAGAAAATCTCATTTCGTTCGGATTTAAGGTGCAGTGATAACAAATTTGTGCAGTGTCAAAGTATCTTTAATTTGTGCAAGCAGTTTCGTTGACAATTATATCAAAACGTTCTGTTAGAGTGCAATGAATGTTCGTATAATACCTGTCAATTAGCAACAGCCAAGAATATATACACGAATTGAGAAATACAATGGCAACGTCCAAAAATAATGAAGACGTGTTCCAGACGAAAAATAGAATTATACGCTATGACAAAGGCGATTACAAATCGTATTCCTTTGGGCATTCTAGTGCGCCATGCATATAGTTGTTCAACAACTATCATTTTCACGGCTCACCACCAAGCCAACAGTTAAAAAGTTCGAAATCGTGTGCCATGTTCTATGTAAAGAAAGACAAGTACTTTTAAAAAGCAAATAAAGTTTCGTAATATATGCTTTGGCTCGCATGTAAAAATGCATGTAATTTTGTTTTTGGAATACCTTTTGTTATCGCGTGCAAAAATGCATGTAATTTTGTTTTCTGCAGTTTTTGGTTGCCAAACTCTCCACATTAAACTTACAAGGACTCTTGTACTGAAAATAGTCATGTTTAATGTTATTGTTGTTGTGTCTATACTATAGAGTTTAGGAGGACCAGATAGGAAAAAAGTTGTAACTTTATCTGTTTATCCTCAATAAATAAAGTGTTATTATTATTATTACTAATTCGGATATTTTAAATCTAGATGTTCTGAAAGTTGAGTGCTGCGACCATCTGTTGCGGTGCATGTAGTGATAAAATTTCCCTAAATAACTAATTCCTAAATTCCGTGCATGCGCTCATGCATCCCGCATTTCATTTTTCATTTAACTGATTTTCCCCGTGCAGCTTATCACGCCAAAAGTTGTTTTCAAGGAAGAGGGTCGCGCGTGATATGCTAATTAGATTATTTATTCTTATCGAATAGTTTAGCCAAAATAAGTGGGTGAAAAAAATCAACAACCAATTGTGATATTTACGTCATTTCGCAGAATGTTAACGTAGGAGTTCTGTTGGAATTACCATGCTTGCAAGCGCGCACGTTTTCTCGGCCTGCAGAAACCGTTGCATGAAAATTATAAGAAATGACCTCGATCTGCAGGACCATTATTAAGATTAACATTTTTATAGCATAAAGTTACATGTGGATATGATCAATACGCTTACCTAATTACATACTTAGCCTAGACCATTTTATCTTTGTAACAATTGAGACCGATTAGTTTCTTAACTGTGTCTATCCTAACCCACCCTGTCAACTTTCCCTGTGGGAGGAAACCGGAGCGTCCGTAGAAAACCTACGACATTCGGCAGAGCGTTGACGGACTTTTTTAAGTGGGTCCATAGCGACAATCGAACCCACCATCTCATTCTCACTGTAGAAGTGAAAGGCACCGAATCGCGTTTATATAGCAGGAACTGACAGACCTATTCCTCATAACTCATAAGTATAAAGGACAGTGGTCTATTTGTTGCACTGTGTTTTTTTAGTAGTTGTAGTAGTTGACAGTCAAACACACACACACACACACACACACAGAGTGACATACACACAGTGACATACACAAACTCATGTAAGAACATAATCTCCTAGCTGGCGGACGCGATATTAACCTATTAAACTCGTTGCTTGAGCTCTTCTGCATGCATTAAGCTCGTTTACAAGGTAAGGTAAGGTATGGTAAACTTTATTTAAGCACGTTAACCCTTTCAATGAAAATTGATTTTCCAAAGGCAGCGTATAAAATTACAAAGCCACGCCCAAGGATGTGCATTTAAATTACATAACTAAGTATATTACAAATGAAATCATAGCAGGCTAATTGCACGTAAAAGCGAATTGAAACTTCCTTAACCCTCAGTGTTTCTAATTTCAACTGCATGGTAAATTGTTTTATAATTATTTGGCACCACTGTTACCTATACTCTTTTTTATATATTCTATAGTTTAGGAAGAAGAAGATTTAGCTTCATGTCAGAATTTCGTAAGCCGCAGTCATGAGGTCTGACAACTGTAGCAATGGAAAATATTTCAGTCAGCACCGCAGGAGCAAAACGATGAATAATCTTATGCACGAGTCTAGTCTGGCTTTGCAGGATACTAGTCGTCGTTCGTTAAGTGTTTTCCAACCAAGATCATGCATTAAGCTCAGCGCATCAAAAGTTCATCCTTTGGATTATAGCGGACCAAAGTGTTTTGCAACAGGAGCCCACACATGTGAATATTTTGTATAAGAGGATTTGAGACTTATACATTGCATACTACAAACAAAAACACCACCTATACTCCAACTTGTGTGTCCACAAAGCCAAAAATTTATAACCCAGAAAAACGGGCGTTCTCGTATGTGGTCCGCTCCTTGCTGGACAAACAATCATTATTTGAACAACGATGCATTTGAGACGTACTGCGAATGCATTATTTTACCAGTCATGTTTTTTACTCAATTTTTTTTTCAGTGAAAAATTGAAACTGAAAGTGTAGCGATAGATTTTATAGGTGTCCAATTGGGACGAAAGTCGATACTGCATGTTCCTTTCTCCTGTTACAACTTGTCTTTGCAAGAATATCGTCAAACGAATATAGTTGATCTGTATAGATAACATGTATAACTGTGACAAATTTATTGTATTATTATATTATAGTTTTTTGTAATTCCTTTATTGCGGTATTATCAAATAATCATATGATATTTATCACGATAATCATGATATGAGATTGAATATCGTCCATGCAACTCTATTTTGTATGTAGGTTATTTTTGGAGCACCAGCTTGAAAAAAAGCTGCAGGTTTATCTTTTTAACCTCATTAAATAAAGTGTCACTCTTATTAGCATAGATAATACAATTGTTATCTTATTAAAATATCAATTTTCATCGAATAGCGAGGGTAAACATGAATTACAATTTACAAGTTAAATATAAAGGGATTTGTGTCACTCATCAAGGGTCCGCTCAGCGACGAATTACAGTATCAAATTAATCGCTTTAAAAACTGCGACACGTACTGTAGAATTGGCCTTCGTTTATTGCAAAATAATGTTTCCCCTTTCAAAACTAATCATATTGGTTAAGCCAATGGCAGTGTCACGTAAAAAATACCTCAACCTTGCATGCAATGATTGTATAACCAGCTGAGCATGCATGCAACTATTAATATTTATTATTCATTGTACTATTTTCTCCTATTCTTATTCGTTGAAAGTGTACAGATAATTTTCCATATCTCGGTGCAGACATGAACATGACAAATACATCTCGTATCTGCATGTGAACATGACAAATAAATATCGCATCTGTAGGTGCCCGCGTATTTTTGCAGCGGTATTTTGCATAAATTGAAAAAGAGCGGGAAATTATGTAAAATTATTTTGTTTTGACAATGGCTTCTGCTCGTTTTGCTTCGGTTTCAACAGAGCAAATTGAAAAAAAATAAATGACTTGATTGTTTTTGTTACAGAATAAATAATAAAAGAATTATTGAATTCGGCTTACGCAGGATACACGGCTAAGAACGCACAAGTTGTTGCAAGTTGATATCGACAGGCGTGAACAATCGGTTGTGCGGCCAACTATGAACAAGTTGTCAACCATGTTGTTCCAAGTTGTTACAGTTGAACAATGCTGTAACAACATGTTGACAATACTAGCTGTTCATAGTGGGCCGCACAACCTTGTTCACGCCTGTCGATATCAACTTGCAACAAGTTGTTGATTTTCTCAATTTTT